ATAATGGTTCTGGTTGACCCCTCTCAGTGTATAATGGTTCTGGTTGACCCCTCTCTGTGTATAATGGTTCTGGTTGACCCCTCTGAGTGTATATTGGTTCTGGTTGACCCCTCTCAGTGTATAATGGTTCTGGTTGACCCCTCTCTGTGTATAATGGTTCTGGTTGACCCCTTTCAGTGTATAATGGTTCTGGTTGACCCCTCTCAGTGTATAATGGTTCTGGTTGACCCCTCTGAGTGTATAATGGTTCTGGTTGACCCCTCTCAGTGTATAATGGTTCTGGTTGACCCCTCTGAGTGTATAATGGTTCTGGTTGACCCCTCTCAGTGTATAATGGTTCTGGTTGACCCCTCTCTGTGTATAATGGTTCTGGTTGACCCCTCTCAGTGTATAATGGTTCTGGTTGACCCCTCTCAGTGTATAATGGTTCTGGTTGACCCCTCTCTGTGTATAATGGTTCTGGTTGACCCCTCTCAGTGTATAATGGTTCTGGTTGACTCACCGATCTCGTCCTTGCACTGCACAGGTTTGGTGGCGAAGGAGGTCTTCCCGCGGCCCACCTTGTTGACGGCAGAGACCTTGAACTCATGGCTGCTGCCGTCCTTCAGTCCGCTCAGAGTGAACTTCTTGTCCAGCAGCTTGGTGTCGGCGCCGACCCGCACGAAGCTGTCGCGGCCGACCATTCGAGACTCCAGAAAGTATTCTGTCACCTCGGAGCCGCCGTCGTACTTCGGGGGGCGCCACGACACGGAGAGAGAATCCTTAGAGACGCCCGTGATCTGGAGATCCTCGGGGCGCTCAGGGACCGCTGGGGGGGGAGGGGATGGGTGTTCAATATATATAATAATAAGGCGGGAAATATGATTACAAATACATCCAAAATATAAAAAACATATTCTGGTATGGTGTGTGCTACGTACAGATGGGGTCCTTGATGAGCACCATCTGCTCCGTCTCGATGAAGGGTCCCATCCCGATGATGTTCTCGGCTGCGATCCTGAAGAAGTACCCCTTCCCGTCCAGAAGGCCCTGAACCACGGCGTTGTTCCGGGTCACGGTGTACGACACCGAGGTCCAGCCCATCCGGTCCGACTCTCTCTTCTGATGATGTAGTTTCGTGACGGCCGAGCCGCCGTCGTCCTCCGGGGAATACCAGGTGAGTTTACACGAGTCGTTGGTCAGGTTCTCTCCGGCGAACGGGAGACCCACCGGACCGGGGACGTCTGGGGGGGGGGGGGGGGTATTACATTTGTTACAACTTACTTGTATTTGTTATAACTACATTTTCCTATTACCTGACCTGTACCTCTTTACCTCTCCCCAGAGCACTTGAAGTGTCTCAGGGACACAACGACATGCTGACTGCAGTGGGGTTTGAACCTGTGACCAACTGCGCACACGCCTCCACATGTGTTTGTGTTAACTAATAATATGGTGTTTCTGGACGGAGCGAGGACCCCACGATGACGGCCATTCGTCCCTCTCGCCCCCATCGTTCTTGGAGATGATTCCAGTGTTGTACCTCTCTCTTCAGAACTACAGTAACCCTGCTAACCCCGACTGCACCCTGCTCCCGACTGCACCCTGCTACCCCCCGACTGCACCCTGCTACCCGACTGCACCCCTGCTACCCCGACTGCACCCTGCTACCCGACTGAACCCTGCTACCCCGACCTGCACCCTGCACCCTACCCGACTGCACCCTGCTACCCGACTGCACCCTGCTACCCGACTGCACCCTGCTACCCGACTGCACCCTGCACCTGTCCTCCATCAGATTCATTCATTCATAATAATGGTGTTTCTGACGGTACCGAGGACCTCCACGATGACGGCCTTCTTCCTCTCCCCGCCCTCGTTCTTGGCGCTCAGCGTGTAGATTCCTGGTGCTGCCGCCTGCAGTCTTGATCACCAGAGAGTTGGAGATGCGGTCTTTTCCACCAGCCGCCTCCTTGGGAA